AATAGAACATTTTATACAGATTTTCATTTTATAATTGTTTAACCATTTCTATCTCCATATTTTCTAACCTTGTCTATAACAATATCATATCTAATGCATGTTCATTGTGTACTATTTGTTTATGTGAACCTTATATGTAGCTTCAATTTGCCTTTAAAAAACCCCACCATATTATGCCTTTACCCTGATTAGTGCTCTCTTCAGTTTAATTCTCTTTTTTAATATATAAGATATGCCCCTTTGCAATTCCAGAAGTTAGGTACATACATGCTTTCCAACATTGAGGGCCACCTTCTTGTTTTTCCCCTTTTCATCTCTCTAAGTAATTCCTTCTCTTAATCTTTTTTCAATTTTTGTTTCTGTCTTTCTAAACATTCTGCCATCTTTTGTGTCCTCTGAGGCCATTTTATGAGAGATCACAGTACAGTATACAAATCCTAGGAGCCACAGAATGTAAAAATAAATAAATTGTACATTTTAAAACTGCAGTCTAATTTTCACATTTAATTTTAATTTAATATTACAGTCTACCTTTCACATTTTAAATCCACACTGCAAGACCCATCAGAGCACAGAAACATAACCCCCACCTAGCCTTATCCCGCCACCAAGCTGCAAAACATCCTGTACAGTACAGTAAATACTGTACAGTGTATGTACTCACCCAGAACAGGTAGTCTCTCTGTCAAAAAAAAGTCAAAAATCCAGATATCAAAAATTAAAAAAGCAAAAAAGCAGTACGTACAGTACAGTCCCAGACAGTACTGTACAATACCAGGCAGTCTGAAGACTCCCTATCCACTCTCTAACTGCTGGGACAAGTGAGGTAGCAGATAAGCAGCCTCTTCGCTGGCCAACGGTTAACAGAAAGTTCAAATTCTGCACTTTTCCCGCCTCCCCCGCATTTTTTTTTCTTTCGTAACTCAAAGCTCTGGCTGCAAGTCAAAGCAATATTTTGCGACCGGAGCTTTTCGTATCTCAAAAATTTCGCAAGTAGGGATGTTCATAAGTCAAGGCACCACTGTACTTGGTCTATCTCCAATAGATCTTCCAGGCTATTTTTAATTCATTCTGCTGATTTTCTCCCCTTATCTTGCCTTAAAACTCTCCTCGATTCCACTAGGTTTTCCCCATTAATTTCCTCCAGCCCTTCTTTAGGTTGACATACACCATCCACCACCCTCTCCTTTCCTTGTTCATAATTTACTGTCTCCTGTTGACTATAATTCTTCTTCAACTGTGCCGTGAATAATTTTGCCTCTCCATTGTGAGATCACTATTTCTAAGATTGCATTTATATACAGTGGTGCCTCGACTTAATTAATCCATATTGGAACGGTGGCCGCAACTCGAAATATTCATAAGTCGAATCACCATTTCCCATAGGAATGCATTGAAAACCATTTAATCCCTTCCAGCTGTTTTTCATTCTTATGTAGAGGCGCCATTCTTAAGTTGAAGCATTAGTTCCCATAAGAACTAATGCAAAGCCGGTTAATCAGTACTCTACCACTTGGGGGAGAATTTTTCTTCTTTTGACCTAAGATGAACTGAGGTGTAAAAAAAAAAGGCAGGAAAGAAGGGAGGGGGGAAGGGAACACCTTCTAAACAGAACACCTTTAAAACCAAGCACCTTTTAAGCAAAAACAAGCCCCTTTGAGTCTACAGCAAACTCAATTTTAAAGCCTGGCTGCATTAACAAGCACCACAGCCCCTCACAGAATATTTTCTGATTTTAAAAGAGACAGACCTTGGAGCCACATTTTAAACACATATTTTAAAACAAAAGACAGGTCACAGTACACAAACCTTAAAAGCCACAGAATCCAGGAAGCATTATTCCATCACAGAACTCCTCATCACAAAAAGAGTGGATAGA